ACACATCGATAATATCCCAAAGTTTACTTGTATATATCTCTGTCAGATTTACATCTCTCGATATGACAAATAGCTCAAATCAGGTTTTTTTTGTTTACTATCAAATGGTTTACATATGTTTAACAAGACATGTGTCAAAAAACTGTGGTGTACATTTACTTTACGCAGACTTATGAAAATGAATGTGAACTAGAGAAGAAGATCTGTGAACTGAAGACAAATGATTATGAGGTGCTTGAGCCCAGGGCCTGTGAAGGTGGGTAATACATGTTTCAGATTCTCTCTAACTTAATTAACAAGCCGTGTTCAGATATATCACATTTAATCATTCTTCAATTTTGAGTTGTGAGCTAAAAGCAACCTGTCACATTTGGTTAAGTTCTTCATTGCAAACTGCATGTAGGCTTCTTTCTAGTTGAACACCTACTTCTTGATGGACAAGTAAGAGGCAAGCCTACTTGCAGTTTTTGCTATAATGTACTTAACTGGTGTTTTTTGTGTGTTTTTGTTGTTTTTTTAAATTTGTCATTAATATCAGTTTAAGATTTCTACTAATTTGGAAAAACGTGACATTGTAATCTTGTCTTTCCACAGAAAAACCTGTCAACTGCAGTGTCGTGCGTCAGTACAGGGTGGAGACTGACAGCAATGGCTGCAAGGCAGACCGCAGTATCAACTTTGGTGCCTGTTACGGTGGCTGCGACAAAGAGGCAGAGCTCTGTTGTTTTGCCAAAGAGCTTGGTCAGGCTTCTGCCATCTTATACTGTCCTGACGGCTCAAACTTTGAGAAATCTGTAAGTTAAGACCATTACATGGCATTCTGGTTTATGTAGACCATTTCATGGCATTCTGGTTTATGTAGACCATTACATGGCATTCTGGTTTATGTAGACCATTACATGGCATTCTGGTTTATGTTGACCATTACATGGCATTCTGGTTTATGTAGACCATTACATGGCATTCTGGTTTATGTAGACCATTACATGGCATTCTGGTTTATGTAGATCATTTCATGGCATTCTGCTTTATGTAGACCATTACATGGCATTCTGGTTTATGTAGACCATTTCATGGCATTCTGGTTTATGTAGACCATTACATGATATTCTCATTTATGGCCTTCAGGGGCCTGGGGGTCTAAATTTTTCAAACCCGTAAGGCAGTGATTCCCAAATGTTTTTCCCCAAGCCCTACCTGATCACTTACACAGGTTTAAACACTCTTCCATATAAACAAATGACTTGGTAAAACAGAGTCAACCATAAAGAAGGCTGCCATTTTGGGACCATTAGATAAGTTAAATATAGCACTTACTATCTTGTTAAAGTACTGTCGTGTATGACAATAATAAAGGTGGTTGACTTTGGGGAAAAAAAAAAAAAATGCCTTCTGTTCATTACACCCTTCTCCGTTCTTTTCAAGCTTAGATACATTTCCTAAATCCCAGAATTGTGATGTAGCTGGGGTGAGTGCCACAGCTAGGGTCAGTGCCACAGCTAGGGTCAGTGCCACAGCTAGGGTCAGTGCCACAGCTAGGGTCAGTGCCACAGCTAGGGTCAGTGCCACAGCTAGGGCCAGTGCCACAGCTAGGGTCAGTGCCACAGCTAGGGTCAGTGCCGCAGCTCGGGTCAGTGCCACAGCTAGGGTCAGTGCCACAGCTAGGGT